GGAGCCTCCGGGCCGCGGGCTGCGCGGGACCGCCGGGTCCGGTCGTGCTCTGACCCGCTGCCCCGTCCCGCGCGGCTCGGCCTGGCCCGTGGCGCCCTGGGCCGCGCGGGGCTCCTCGTGTGGTGGAGAGCCCCAGGGCGGGCGTTGGGGTGTGATAGGGGCCCTGGGTCTGACCGTTCTCTGGGCAAACGCCCCTGAAGCGCGTCCGTTTGCTGGGGCCGGGCGCGTTATTGTGGCCAGCTGTGGGCAGAGCTGAGCCCAGCGCGTCCAGGAGCGGAGAAACGGAGGGCACATGGAGGTGGGCAAAGAGAGGAGGAAGGAGAAGCCGGGGAAAGGGGCAATCCAAGCTGGAAGGATCGGTAAAATTGGCTGCAACATGGGGATATTGGGAAAGGCTGGAGATCCAGGCAGTGACAGGGAGGAGAGGGGTGGAATAAGTTTTAGCCAACAGAAGCAATGGGAGTCTCGGTGGCTTCAGGACACCATGAGCAACCTCGCTGCGTTTCCCGCTGAGTCTCACGGGTGGTTTTCATCAGGGCAGAAGAGGTGGAAGGGAACGGACTCCAGAAAGATGCCAGAGTTGAACTTAAATACTGCCACACAAAGTTGTCTATAAGAAGAAAAGAGAGTCTTTTCCTTCTCCATTAAATAAATAAATAAATAAATAAATAAATAAATAAATAAATAAAAAGATGACCTCCAAGCAAGTCAAGATTAGTAGGAATGTTTACATCTACCATATGAGCTCATGAACATTTGCATCACAAAAAGATTGGAATCTGAAGAACTTTTAGGAAGAAATGCAGTGCACATTTTCAAACCAAAGTCTCTCACAGTTATTGGAAGAAAAAACATTTCAAGTTGCCTCAGTATGAAGGGGGARCAAATCACAGATTTGGGGCAAATCACTTTTTGGGTGAAGATTTATAACCAATGTTTCAGATATTTTGATTTTGTGAAGTCCTTCAAGATAGTGTCTCTTCTGTACATCTAACAACCTAGTTTCAGTGAAACTTAGTTACCTTAGAAGTAAAACAAAGTAATACTGAAAACGCAGAGAAAAAAAAGTTTTAAGACTTTTTTTTTGTATTATTTGAACAAAAATATCTCTGAAGGTTCTTAGCTGTCTGTTCAACATAATTTAAGTCTAATGTGACAAAAAGGTTTCCTTCAAGTTCTGTCTCTCCATGCAATTACAAAAGAATCTCCCTTTCCATTTCTCAATAAAGTTTGTGTTTCTTATGGCCATGGAGAAAAGCTTGAAAATATGATGCAGAAGAAGCTCCAAAAAACAAGGGGATATTAATGTAATGAAGAAATCACTTGTTTTTTTGGTGTGTGATTCATATGTTTGGAATAAGGTATTCTGAACATTTAAAAATCCTAGAAAAGACTTTCCCATGCAAGAAATCTCACTACATGATGTTTGATAGATAGATCGCTATTACAAATGGCTGGTATGTGGACCATAATTTGACATAATTTGAAGTGAATGGGAGACAGATTGCAAGCTCTGTATTGAAAGGCTGCTTTTGAGGAACTTCATGGGGCATGGATTATTTTTCAGCCTTTTGTGAAGAAAAAATATAATAAAGCTACTGATTCAAGAAAAGATTCTCTAGATAAAAGTTCATCTGCATTCATTTGTTAGCAGCTAGGCTAATACAGAGCTAGAGATGTCAACACCCAAGTAACTAACATATGATAAAAAACTACGGATTTAGATTTTTATTCATATGAATTATTACTGACTATTGCCTAATGAGGTTTCTAGTTCTTGGGTGTCAGTCTGTAGGCATTTATAACTTTACCATTTGCTTTATGTAACACTTAGGGTTATTTTCAGTACTTAGTGGCACAGGCTTTGCGCGTTATACATTTTTTTACTACTATTTGTATATATGATTTAATCATCAAGATGATAAAAAACACCCAAGATTTGTTGCAATTACCAATAAAATGGAAAAATTCAAAAGTTGTATTTATTAATCTCTAAGGTGTTCTCTTGTAGGAGACATTTTCTCTCTTTTTCTTTTTTATCCCTGGATAATGCATTTGTGAAGTCTGGACCTGAAAATGTTAATACTGTTGTAGTTTTTTTGCCTGTGAGAAAGCAAAGTCATTTCCAGAATAATTCAAACATGGCCATTTTAGCTCATCTAGATGCATTTTCTAGAAACAAAGTTGCAATAAATTAAAGGGCATTAATCAGTTTTTAAGTACTTGAAAGAACATTTGAACAGAACGGGACTGAGGTTTTAAAGCCATTCAGCATTCAAGTAAATGTCTCCAAAATAATTTTGACAGAGGTTCGTATACCAGCGTATGAGAAGAGTATTATTGCTTTTSTTATATGAATGCTTATATTAATGCTTTGAGAAACATTTCCTGTATCCTCTGATACTAACAAGTTGCAATTTTGAATACTATCTGCTGGGACTATGTTGTATTCTCCATGCAGTGGAGAACTRGTATGAACCAGCCAGCACTGTGGATGCAAGATATTTACAACACACACAGGCATTTCAAAGGGACCTACAGAGGCCATTAATAAACCATAAAAGGATTGGTGACTCCCTTGAGCTGAAAATAACTGGAACTAGAGACACTGGAAGGAAGGGGCGATATCAGACATGCTTGCCCTCTCCTTACTCTTCTACTCATTACTGTTGGAGGCAGTACACCATCTTGGTCTGAACCAGTGCAGTAATTCACATGTTCTCATGTAGGGCTGTAATGATCAGAGCATTAAAATAAATAGACCCCAAAAAGTGTGCCCAAGATGACAAGTTATTTTCTTGTCTGCCCTAAGGTCTCCCTGAACAGCACTGTCTACTGTATGGGGACTATCAGTTGGCATTTATCATGTCATCAGCCAAAGAGAGGTGAAAGTATCATATATATATGTGTGTGTATATTAATCTTAGTCTTACCCATTTAGTTGGGATCTGCAGACAAGATGTCTGCTCCTCTCTTATAAAGATAACATTTCTTGGTTTTCCACAGAAGAAGGAAATGTGAGACTGTCATGATAGTTTATTACTTTACATAGTTGCCCAAGATCCTTTTTATGAAGTTGGCTTTTCTTTAAAGAGAAGCTTTCTCCTACGTGTTTAAGAATAGCTGGATTGGAAAAGCTTTTGTGGGCTGAACTGGGAGCAAGGAGATCTAGAGAAGCCAGAAGGGGAGCCATGAGACTTTGCTTTGAAGATCTCTGCTGCTGTAGTTCTTGCTTTAGTTACAGATACAGACAAGTATTTGAGAACAAAGCTCAGCACTCATCGATTCCTAGAGATTAGTTAATTAAGTAATAATAGGATGAAGAATCTGTCCCCTTTGTGTATATGTCCTGTTTTATGCCCTTAAAGTCGGTATGACACATGGATCTGGGAATCTGGGAATTATCAAAAGATAATTATATTAAGATTATAGAATATTTAAAACAAAGTAATTAATCTGGCCTTTTCATCAGAATGAATCCAAATCCTTTAGAAATTGGTTCATTTTAAATGCTGTTGACATTCTGGTTTTACCCTCATAAATGAGTATAARTCAGTATATTTAAACAAACAGAAACACTTGTAATATCTTATCAAAGCTTAATAGCAATATATATTTCAGAGTATTTAAATACATTTTGCAATGCTACCTAATATTCTGTCAAATCAAATAGTCAGATATGTAATGAAAGAGACAGCACATTCTATTATTTTAGCCCTTGCTCCCTTATTTATTCACTTGTGCTGAAAATGACCAGCTTTGTGTTATCAAACTTATGCATGAAAATAAATATGCATTGTTCCCATCTCTGTAAGGAAGTAAAGATCAAATCTAAATAGTTAAGGAAAGTCCCTGACTTCCCTTTGTTACAAGGCAAAGAGAAAGCCAACATATTACAAAATCTTCTGGTTACAAGCAAGTGATACACAGAAAATTTAATACAGAGAAATGGGCATGTGGGGTGAACCAGAGCTATGTTTTGCATCTCACAAAAGGTTCTTATCCCACTCATCTGCCTTTGCCTTCAGTAGTATCTAAGCACACAATGTCACAGAGAATCAAGATCTTAAAT